AATATGATAAAAAAAAATAAATATATAGAGAAAAGAACCGGATAGTTAAATAATCTGATGTAATTTTTAGCCAATCCTATGTTTGCATTCAATATTGAATACCTAAACTTTCTAATGTTTCTATTGCCTTTCTATTTTTACTTTTAGCTGCTAATTTTAAATAATTCAACCCACGTTCTTCATCTTTGGGCACATTGAATTTTCCGTTCAAATAGATATCCCCCATACAATTCATTGCATTAGGATTTTTATTTTCAGCCGCCAATTTTAAATAACTCACCCCACGCACTTCATCTTTAGTTACTTTGAGTTTTCCATTCACATAGATATCTCCCAAATAATACATTGCATCAATATTATTTTTTTCGGCTGCTAATTTAAAATATCGTATAATTTCTTGGCGATTTTTAGCTTTCGCAGCTTCGTTATTCTCTTTTTTAGAAAGCAACATAATTGCATATCGATATTGCGATTCAGTATGACCTTCATTGGCAGCTTCTTTGTAAAGTTCCATGGCCCGATCTAGATCCTTTTCTACAACATACCCGTTGTGATAATAATAACCTTGCCAGAATTTTGCTAATGCAAGTTCGGAATTTTGTTGGAAACATTTCCATGCATCTTCATGTTTCCCTTCATGATGCATCTTTATTCCATTTTCGATAGGTACTATAATATCATCCTCAATAATTTCTTCAGGATCATCATCAAATTTTGGGCACAAAGATTCAATAGGAACTTGATTTGTCTGTCTTGTTTCCGACTTTGGTGGTAGCAAAGGAACCTGATCTTTATTTCCTTCAAAATCTAATTCATTATTCTGTAGAAGTTGTGGCGTATCGAGAGGAAGTGGGTATTTGTCAGCTAATTCATCAAGTTTATAACTTAGTTCCGCAATAGATATCCGTGAATTAGGATTATGAATCCAAGCTATTCATCAATTAAGCAAGAAATAAATTAAAAATTAAGGATAGGCAGTAAAATGATAAAAATCATAAATTACCTTTTTTAATGATCTTAATAAACTCTATCTGAATATCTTTATCATTAGAGTCTTTAAATTTTCCTTCTAAGACATTTTCTCTCTTGCCCTTCAAAACATGTTCTATTATTTTTTGCAGATTCATGCCTTCGTAAGGTATCTTTTCATAGCAAAGCTCCCA